GCAGTTTACTCTGCATTTTTGTTTTGTTTCTTTCCACTCACATAGCAGGACATTTGTCACCTCATATTTTACTTTGACGCTAATATTCCGCACTCAGTATCAGGCCTATCACGATATGTGCCATGGTAGGAGGGTTGAGGTAGTCGTAGCTCCGAATCAAGTTTAATTTGCCCAGTCCGGCACTTCAGAGAAATTGGATAAAAATCCCATATTATACTCCAGTTCTGGGGGTGTGTAACCAGTTGCAGCCGGGGCAAGTTCAAGCTTTATTATTTTGCCTCAGTAAGGCTATAATAGCTGCAGATTCGTCCGCTGAAATTTGCAGACATTAACTTTTGCAGCATCTTTTCTGCATACTTTGATCCCCAGCGGGCTTGGGTGAAGTTCGTGATCGATAGGAACCTTGTTTCGTGATAAAAAGCACTTCCCAGTCAGTGGGTGTGCGTAGAGTTGATGGCTGAGCACCTTCTTTGACTGACCATGTTTGCTGGCTTCAGGATGGGGACCTAGGGGAATGTCTTAAACGACCAATCGTGAGCGTTAAACAGTCACATTTTTTGAAGGAGAACGCTACGACTCGCAGTGCAATAATTTGAGCATTTTTAGCAACAGTCCGTTCGGACGATTTAGATAAGGGCGCGTGGGGAGAGAGGGGTGGAGGTGACCTATGTTTGATATGAAGAGGTGGCCATATCTATTGAATTGAGTAGTGTTTCTCGAATATGTTAGGAGAGAAACAGGCTTTTCAGAAAGTTGAGATTTTTAAGGGATTCAGAAAAAGCGAGAGATTTGAGCAAACATCCGGAAAGGTTGAGGTGGAAATTATTACGATTGACCCTGCTTCCCAGTCCGAACCGTCTATATGCAAGGTGCCTCTTTGCATAAGGGCTGCGACGACACGAAAATATTTTTATAGAGCACTTCCTCTTCAACCAAACCCCATCATTTCTTGTTAAATTACTACTTCAGGCTCTTGCAGTGTTACTGATGACTCAACTGATATTTGGACCCGCGCCATGAACTTGGTGTTCACGACCGCCTCATGGTACTTTCAAACAGGGATAGCCAGTGCCGTAGATCGATTGTTGAAGGAAAAACTCGGTACTAAAGCGACTCCCATCTGGGTGAGTAGATAATTTTCTGGACCCAACCTGCTAGTGTCCTGGCAGCGTTCCTATTTCGCGATTTGAGATTTGATATAATACGAAATCGAGAGATATGGTGTATACACATTAATTAACACTCAGCTAACCCTCTCAGTAGAAAATCGATCTCCTAGTTTCCTAATTTCTCTGCCAATACGTTTCTCATTATCTAATCTTCTCTCAAATCGTGTGTAGGAAGGTGTATGGGGACCTTTCTATTTCGTAATTTACATGGAAGGGACAACGAGGGAACATCACAACTTGAAGGCATGCAAAGGGATCAGAGGATGCGTAGCGTTTGCGTGGGGGTCAGCTCATCGTCGCACGCGGCGATCGCACTCGCCGCGTGTGCGGCGATTTCGCGATGTGGAGGTTTTTACTCGTCCATGCTGTTGTCCACCGTTGCAGCCTTCACATTTGATTGTCAAGTGACGAGGTGGCTAGTCCCAAGCACAGTAAGGCTCTTCCACTTTGATGTCTCCCATGGACATGAGCGCCAGAAATTAAGTTTGGAAATTAAGAAACGCTGCGGAGAACATTGGAACTTTCTGAAACAGTCTGAGTGAACGAACCATAGTAAACTGCGTATTAACGTCATGTAGAATGGGCGTCATGTGAAAACATATCGCCATACTGCATGATCTACTCTCTTTCACGCCATTGGGGAGAAGGGGGTCAGTCAAATTTAAACAGGTCACTCAAACAGCGCCTAAGTTGCTCATTCGGCAGTAACGAATCGATAAAATTAACGAACTTTCACTCCAACAGCCAAAAGAGTGGAAGAGGGCTAAAACCATGTTGCCAGCTAATAAATCACACCGCCACATCCAACCACCACAGCCTTCGCCGCGTCGATCGCCGCGTGCGACGGCGCGGCGGCGACCCCAGGAGGAGAAACGCACGTCTCCCAGGATCAGATGATGTCGTCCTTGTGCACGAACATGGAAGTATTGATACGAATGGGACCGCAGTAGTGAAAGAAATGAGTAGAGTCAGTAGAAAAGTAGAAAACTTTTATGTTGAGTACTTACTCACGGTCTACTTCGGTTGCTAAGACAATGAGAGCTGGGCGGGGGTAGGAAAGTATGAGGCAAAAGCGGCAGCATATGATAAGGCGCCGGATGACAGCCTGCTGCGGACGGAAGAAGAACTTCGCTGAGGAAAATATTGCCCTGTTTCTCTCCAGAGCTGGTACTCGCTTTGCTATTGCACATAACACGCTCACACAGCTAGTAGGCTGAACACCGATTTGTAGATCGACTAGCGTTAGTGCTTGTTGTGCAGGCCAAATAAAGGATAAAGCATTTGCCGTTGATCAATCCCTTTTTGGGATGCGGCACGCATTCTACTTCCATTTGTACATTCGTAGTGGCGTTTGAATGCGATGTGGCCTATACAATGACTTGCGGGGGCCAGCCGATGTACAAGTCAGTGTTTTTATCCTCCCAGACAAGTCTGGTACCAATTAACCGACCCCGGAGGGATGGAAGGCTTGGTTGGCCACGGGTGCAGGCCAAATACACATTCAAAAATTACTAAGAATCACTCGATCAGGAAGCTCGGAATTTGTTGTATATTTCCTGTGCAAGCGTAGTGATTGTCAGGAGGGTTTTTTCTTATTTCAACTAAATACCATTGCAGCATACTGTTTCAAATATGTCATGGGTATTAGACAATTCTGAACCACTACTGGATTTCGAGAAGCCAACTCTTCATAAAGTTGTTCACATCGGCGGAATGAGTGTACACAAACCGAAGCCGCTAAGTAAGGTAATTCATTGGAACTTTCGCCATATCTGCTCAACGCGATTTCATCGACTCATTCAGGAGTGGGATAGGATACTCAATCTCAGACGTCGAGCGATACTCATCTCTTTCGGCAGCGTAGCACAAAGTGTACTCATGCCTGACTTGATGAAAATGACAGTTCTCGACGTGGTCAAATCGTAAGTTCTTCGAAGGCATGCCCCAGGATCAAATTGGTGTGGCTCTTGCACACGAATGCGAATGTTGGTGCGAAATGGGCCGGCAGTAAAGAAAAAAGGAAAAGAATCCGTCGAAAACGCCTAGGTTGAGGGCTCACTCACCTTCGTACTCGCCTTTGCCAATGCAATGGAACGAGAGGCTAAGAAGGAGGTCTTTCAGGCAAGCCACGCTTTTTCAAAACGGTTTTTGCATATTGTAGGGACGCATGTGGAACACAAAACCATGTTTCATTTTCGCTGAACGGTTTAGCAGTACCAAAAGAAGCATAAGGTACTGTTAATGGTTCGATCCCCCGTGGCGACTAAATTTTGCATTTGGGTTGGCGCCTACGGGTTGGTGCCAAATCGCGCTAAATGTCAAAATCAGATGTCAATTCATCGTCAGGACCATTTTGAAGCCAACAAGTGGCCGCCAACCTTGATTGCAAAATTTAGTCGCCGCGGGGATCGAACCATCAAGGGTATCATTCACCACTTTTTTGGATACTACTAAAACCGTTCAGCGAAAACGAAACATGGTTTTGTGGTCCATACATGCGTCCCTACAATATGCAAGGAACCGTTTCCAAAAGCGCGGCTTGCCCTGAAAGACCCCCTTGTAAGCGCAGAGAGGAGAATATGAGGCAAGAGAGCGCCAGACAACAACCTGAGAAGAACTCTGCAGCTTGCAGCAGCTTACTTTGCAAGGCCCTAGCGCTCTTGTCGGTTGATTTCCGTGCACGAGAATGCCACATTTGTGATTGCCTCTAAGGGTCTATCCTATAACCCAAACGGAATCTTCCACACGAATCCTGCCTGGGTTGTGCCTTCGGAAATAAAAACCGAAAAGAGTTGGCTTGTTCTTGATGGGCGCATGAGGTGAATTCGTTGCTGCCCCAGAGCAAAAGCATTTGCCAATGATTGAAGTAAGGCTATCATTGTGACTATAAGTAATGCAGGAATTTCTAAGCACAAGTGGTAGCAAAATGAACACAGATAAGGGCGATTGAGTACATGTGTGTTATTACTTCTGAAAATAACAGCAACTGTTTTGGTTGGCTCACGAAATAACAGCAAGTAAAAAAGTATTGGGGATAAAAATCTCGAATCGCAGCGCGCGCTGATTATATGAGTGGGATTTGCTCATTCCCCTGATGGAGTTTCATATGTAGTAAAAAAAACTAGACGATCTCATCAATTTCCTTCATTCTACCATAAAGAATAACTGCTAATCAAGAGCAATGAGGTAGACTGGGGGCGCAAACAACGCACACACACTCAGCGTGCAGTGCAGGTTTGAGCAATTCTTCGTTGTTTTGGTTTGCTCTCTCTCATCACCGATAATCACAATTGCAATTATTTTCGAGTTTTTCATGCATTTGTTAATTTTAAAACATTGGGATCAAATGGCTGTGTGAATATTTACTCAATTCAGATATCCAGATATAACTTTCATCTGGAAATATGAGGAGCCAGACGAAGAGATGTTCAAAGGCATTGAAAACCTGATACCCGCCCCCCCCCCCCACAGCTATGGCCACACCAGCCGCGATCTTCTCTAGGCTGAACCACCTGCATCGCGATCCCTCTAACTATTTATCATGTCGCCATGGCGACTGCTGCCACTGTACACCTGAACGTGCTAACAGAGACGCTCGACTCTCTCCTAGGCGCCCCACCCCCCAAAAATAAGAAATGTAAACTCCCCACATACTGCACCCACCCCCACCCCCCCACTTTCGCCAGCTACGAGAAACTCGCTCACCTCAAGCTCATAACCCAAGCCGTTCATCCAGCTTCGCTGAACTATCGCGACTCTCGAACTCCTCTGAACTCGTGTACACCCATTGTGCGACCTCCCCCCAAAAAAACTCGGCTCAACACCGCACGTGCTCGTCATTGTTCTGGGAGCGACCCCATAACTCTGGAGATTCTTCCCAGCCGCTACTCGTCTCACGCCTCTGTATCCACCCACGGTGGCGTTAAGCAGTATGCTGGAGACTTAGCAACCCTCGAGGGACGCTGTGACTTCGCCATTCCCGTCCATTCCGCGCCATCCGATGAAAATGCGAAGTTCCGATGCGCGAACATATGGCCTTCGCGTAAGTGAATCCCCAAATATCTATTTGCTAACTCGATGTATTGTTATGAATGGTCGCAAGAAAAGGCCCTACATTGATAACCACTGTCTGAACTCAAGACCGGTTATCCCCCAATTCGCCTCGCTAGTGTATTCTGCAAGCCGCACTTACAGTTCGTACGACCCTCTTGCTAAATCATTCGCTCAGAAGACAGCCCCAGCCTAGTAGATAAATACCCGCCCCCCCCATTTTCTACCTCATTTGAAACAGCCTGCAATTCGGGCTCCACCCTCCCTATTGACAGCTCGCTGCTCCTCCCCCAAGGCCAATACCTCCCCCCCTTTATCCCCCCAACGGCGTAGCGCCCAGTCAGCTCTACTCGTCGTCTCTCGCTTTGTCTCGAAACGAAACTTGTCGAAATGCCGTCTCTCCTGAGTCCGAGCACAGGATGCCATTGTTTTGTGGCGCTAACGGAATCCGCTTCTGGCAGAAATATGATTCGTTTCTCACGACCACTCAAATACACTGGCATTGGTTCTCTCAATAAGAAGCAGAAAACAAAACGAAGAAATCCTGCGCTTTTGTTCCGGTTTGCAAAACTGTGCGGCTGCTAACGTCTTCTGAATACTTCTTCCGACGGGACATCTGTAACCACGCTATCCGCGCGCGGCTTTCTACTCGCGGCTCACAGAACGCTGTCCAACCTCAGCCAACACAACACCTCTCCTTTTTCTGACGCCCCCCTTCTGTGATTAAGTTTCTTCAATCTCTTCCCCCCACTTCTAATTGCCACTCCTTGTTTTCATCGAGTCGTCTTGTTCTTCCTGTTCTCCCCCAATCAGCACGCTTCCAACCCTTGACGCCACAGATGGCACCACGTGGTGCCACTCACCTCGCCCACCCGTCTCGCGTGGGACCCATCGCGCACCCCCAATGTGGTTCGACCCGCCCTAATTTTCTTATTTACCCCCATTTGACAGCATTGTCAAACATATCGGTCAAGTATACCCCCCAGCCAAAGCACTCCGCTCTCGCTCATATTTGAGGCCATACCCTCTGCAGACAACCATGCTTGTGTACTAACTAATTTGACATGACATTTTAGGAAATGGCCACCTCTTGCGTCGGCCAATCGTAATCTCCGACTAGTGCTTTTACATCTATTAGCTCCAAGGTGAAACTACAGACTCCAGGCACTTCTAGCGTATTTCTCAGTCCTCACGCACACGCGGCCCGGAGTTTGAACTCATGCATCAAAAAATTCTACTGTACATTTGAACTTCTAGAGTTTTCAAACACCATCCCTTTGAAATCCGAGATTTCTTTCCAAACTTCCACTTCTAATTCCAACAATACATGATCATAAAGCTTAAGACTGCAGTCATATTTTGTTTATTGTCATAGTCAAAATTTTGATAGAAAAACTGCTTTTAGGGACAATTTTGCCCCATTTTGTGCGAGAGTTGGGCGCGCCAAAAAGAGGCGTGGTCCCACGAGCACGCTACGTGCAAATCCGCATTGTCGTCAAAGGGTTAACCCGACCCTTCCAATGCCTCGCCTGATACGTGGCCGCCCCAAGGCGCCCCTCCTTTCATGCCCCGCCTTTGACGCGAACTCACGTGAAACATTGAATGTTCTCTCTAGTGATCACAACTGACATATGTATTTATGTTGAGAAAGAGAGCAAGAATTCTTCGAGAAGAATTCCTTCAACTCACGGCGCGGCTTCGAAGGCGTCTCAGAAATGCGTATGTTTCTATGTCAGCGGTTAAGGAGGTGAATTTTGGCAAGCAGAACGCTGCTTTCTCTTTCACTGCTGAAAATGTCCTTGATAATTTGTTGAGCGTAAGCAGGAATCGTTCAACCTCCATGAGTGAAGCATTTGGAGTCTCTTATTTATCAATTTTGGAACTATCGTCATTCATTTAGGAGTCATAGTGGAGAAAACTGAGCTACTTGGCGGTAGAGGACTTCATGAAGCTATCGATCGAGTAATTAGTGACAAAAAGTGAGTGATAGCAGATCTTCTCCTTCGTTGTGCTTTCCCATTTATGAGACTTAGTTTGGAGTACTCAGCCATGAAGTGTTTTTCAGGTATCAAGACTCCGCTACAAGGATCGGCCGCCTCTTATCGCGACGTCCGTTTAGCCCTGAGGAGAAATTGATCAAAACTGTCGAACTTGCTGCAGAATTTGGTGACTTACCTGAACTAAGGGTCGCCGGCAAGAATCTAGGGTTTATTGTTTACCATAATCTTGATTTACTTTTGATAGTAGCTCTTACACTTTTATCACTGATTAGCCTCGTATTGTATATCGTATTCCGGGTAGTTCGGCGCTGTCTCCCGTTGAAAAAACAAAAAACCCAGTAAAATTGGTTACCCAGGTCGTTTTTATTCACTGTTAATAATAAATACCTCCTCCTATTTTTGTTCATGTTGGTTCAATCAGTGGACGATTTTGGGTCTGATCTCCCAGACCGCACACGTAGTGCGCAGTGTCACCTGCCGCTACAAAACTTCCGCCCCTTTTGGCATCTTCATCTTCGAGGTTCACATCGAGGGTCCGTTGTTCAGATTAATCCTCTCCCCTGGAATGGTCATAAGGTCAACCCTAACCCATTCGAATAACAATGCACACTGTTCTACTCGCTTCGAGACGCCGCAAGAACAAAACCCCATCTAGCAAACGATTATACAGCCTAGCTGTAGAAGCTGCGAAGCCGGAAGCGCAGCGGTAGTGGTATGGGCTCGCATGCATGCTGTCGCGTGACCACCCTAGGGGGATTGGCCTGTCGCTTTTCACGACAATCACTTGAGAACTTTCTCTTCAGCTCTAGCACCAGTCACAAAATTTGGAGGTATCAAGGCATGAGAGACTGGCAGAAGAAGACAGATTTCAGCTAT